TTATTTCTACTATCTTATAGTATATAGTAAAATATCGTATTCTTTGCATTGCATAAAAAAATAAATAAAACAAGTAGCATCTGCAAACAATGCAAATGATTCCATAGCCTTTTCTCGTAATGACTTTTTAAAGTCAGCTCCCCGGGTGTCCAGCAAAGTAACATATAGGTGTATGTTTCTTTCTTTTCTTTTTCTTTTTTAATTAACGGCACTGGATTTGATATTTTAACATCTAATTCTGATGACATTCATACAAGTCATGAGTCCTATTCACAGAACACACTGCATAACATAAGTGCAATGCACTCTTCTGCCAATGCATTACATGTAAATATGTATATATGCATATTCAATTAATAATCTAAACCACAAATATAGACCTAAAAGCATAATGAGGAAAAATACAGAAATTGGTAAGCACTGCTCTTGTGAATTAATTCAAATTACATTTATTTTAGCTGCAACAACCACATCTTGTGTGATTACGGAGAGTAAACAAGGTTTTGAATAGAGAAAAGGATAAATGATAGTGTTCTGATGAGTCGTCCTCCCTGTAGCTGAATCCCAATTGAAACAGTCACTAATTATTGGCACGATCCATGCAGGCCTATTGCTTCTAATCATGTGACAGCTCTTTGGACATGCTCTGAAGTGATTCCTTCGGGAGAACAACTCCCCCCAATAACAACAGTTAAATCTGAGCCATTTTCACGAACTTGGAACGAGAAGAAAAACAGTGAGAGAGAATGCAGGGACAGAAATGTTTTTCTAGTAAAATCACTGAGCGCTTTGTCAAAAAGGTTTATTCCACAATACAAACTGTCAGAGTCTGGCAAAAACTGGCAAGTAATTGATGGTGAAAGCACCCTTAACTGCACAATTTTCACACAGGATCTGATTGATCTGGCAAACGACCAAATAATTCAACAAGCCCAACAATGAAACGCGATAGGAGGTTTGGGGGTGTAGTTATCACATCGTGAAAACTATAGTCCTCTAAACGCGAACCACTAAATAGAACTGTTAATGGTGTTAATTTCAGCAGCGTGTTGGAGTACCTGATGAAACGTGACTGACAGTTTATAGCCAGCTTTAATCTAGATTGCTAATGGACCGGTGAGAGAGCGAGAAAGTTTGTTCTAGGCTGTGCTGCTAATAGCTGTTCTTCTCTCTCTGAGTGATGAGAAGTAAACGTCAGGCCTCTTGGCTCCCAGCAGGTGGGTCTGGTACTGATGGCCTATCCGCCTCTCTGACAGCAGGGTGAGATGGACTAGGTGCGAGAGAACCGGTGAGGGAGGTGGGCAAGTATGGATGGATAAGACCGGGGCTGTTTTTCATAAGTGGTTATGGCACAGATGAGGACTGATTTCTGAATGCCGAGCTGTAAAATTACTCAGCGAAAATGTATTCATGTATTCCCCAGAGCCGAATATTACATCAGCTGATAAAGCGCAGCTCTCCGCACAGCCGTAGGTTCAGAAAGTGTCGGATCATTTCAAGCCACAGTTCTACGCCCTTGGGATTTGTAGCTGTGAATGACTGTATACGCATTACATGATTTTAAAAGTGAAAGATATACTAAAAATGACTTTGGATTTACATACAGACAACCTTGTGGAGCAATGAGAAAATGAAAGGGTTTTGAAATAGTGTTAAAGACAACATGAAAAGAGCATTCACAACACATAATGCATCTTTCTTAGTGTATTCAGCTGAAAAATGATGTGAGGTGGGAATCTGACTGGATGCAAACATGTTAGGCTACGATATTATTGCAATATTTTAAGATTTTTCCCTGCCTGCATCGTCTTGGTTACATAAGTAGAACAATTATGATTTTTTAAAGAACGATTATGAAAAACATTTGATGTCTTTATGATAATGTGCACTATACAATCAGCAATATATATATATATATATATATATATATATATATATTTTTGATTGTATAGTGCACATTATCATAAAGACATCAAATGTTTTTCATAATCGTTCTTTAAAAAATCATAATTGTTCTACTTATGTAACCAAGACGATGCAGGCAGGGAAAAATCTTAAAATATTGCAATAATATCGTAGCCTAACATGTT